CATCTTCAATGGTGGCCGAAAATTTGCAAAGGGTAGAGAAGCAAGACAAGGCGTTCAAATCAATGTTTGAGACCGCCTTGAAAAACACAGCTGCCACTGCTGTTGGAGGTGAGCAACTTTTTTCGAGATAGCACCAACGCTCACGATATACACATTATGTAGGTGGATATGAGACTGTAAGACGTCAAATATATATTGCTGCTACTTGACCTTTCCACAGACTACCGGGATGTTGATGGTCTTTGTTCTTGCCATGGTGCTATATCCAGATGTCCAGAAACGCGCACAAGCGGAGATCGACTTGGTCATTGGAAGAGATCGGTTGCCTGCGTTTGAGGACAAGAAATCACTACCCTATGTCGATGCAGTTGTGCGGGAGACTTACCGGTGGATGCCGATTGCACCACTTGGTGATGCTCGTCATTAAGTGTTCTTGCATTTGTTGAAGACTACCTGATAGGAATCCCACATGCTACCTCGAGTGAAGATACATATGATGGTCACTACATCCCAAAAGGTCTGTTATTTATTTTTTCCTGATGAACAGATGATTAATGGGCTAAATATTGTACATCAGGAGCGATCGTCATGTGCAACTTATGGTTAGATACATCCTGCTCACTCAGCCTTCAACGAAATATCACAAAACCTAATCTTAGGGCCATTTCACATGATGAAAAGCGGTATCCCGATGCATGTCATTTTATTCCAGAGAGATTCATCGACATTAACGGCGCGCTGACGGACGATGACCCTGTGCAATATATTTTTGGCCTAGGCCGGCGTATATGCCCAGGTGGGTCGATCCATCCCCACGACATCAGCAAGTGATGAACCAGGGCGTTCTTTAATCAGGCAGATACATTGCTGACGCCTCTGTGTGGTCTGCCATTGTGACAATGTTGTCCACGGTGGATATTTCTTCCGCCAAAGATGACCAGGGCAAAGCAATCGATTTCACCCCCGAGTTCGCGACGGGTATCACTTAGTACTTCATTTCCTATTATTCTATCCTCTCGTTACTGATATGATTGTTTAGTCACCCTAAGACTTTCCCTTGTAGTATTTCAGCTCGTCCTCATGTTCAATTGGTGGAACTTCTGGATATGTTGCAAACCACCACATAGTACATAGATATCTGCAGAGTTTGAAAAGAAGAAACCATTGTGTATTTTAACTCGCGATGCTGAAATCAATGGCTGTCACGTTCGAGCTGCAAGTCATTTATGCCTCGTTAGCCTGATTGCATCTCAAAAAGAAGGCCACTGCGTTACTTGAAGAATCGTACGAACGGTTAGCAAGTCTTTGAAACATAAGAGTCAAGTTCTCGGTTGATAATTCATATTTATAGAGTCACGGAAAGAAGTGAACGTTTCCGAGTGCATAAGTTCACCTACACAAATCGAGTACATAACCAGATAGAATATCAAATGAGAACCTCCATCCCGCCCCATTCCAACGCCCTGAACAAAGTCACATCACCAGCTCTTGCAGGATCAACTCCAACCACATTCACCCACCAAGCAACGTCTTTCTCTGCTTTATTTTGTGCGCTAGTCCAATTTGCCAAGTCCTCCTTACGGATACCTTTGAACAACATGAATACCCGAGTCACGACGTCGGGCTGCGGAGAAATGCGTAAAGAGGCGGCGCGTTCGAATGCCGCTTGAGGAACAAATCGGAGGGCAACGTATTCGTGCTTGAGGATGGATGGTAGCCAGTAGCTACCGCGACAGTTTCAGTGTTGTGTTTACGATTTGATAGCCTGAGGTAGCGCATATATACGCACGTTATGAATGATGTTCTAGCTTCGGGGTGAAGTCCCAAAACCTTGAGTGAGTTGTCGAGGTAAACGGTCACTTTGTCCACTGGAGTGACAATTGAATCCGTATCATCGAGACTGCTGGATGCTGGATTGAATGTATCCACTGGTTGCGGTTTGGATGCTGCTTGTGAATTTGTCCTGCGAAGAGTAAGACAAGTCAGGAGAGTGATTTCTGTATGATCAGGGGACTTACTCCGCCTCCCAGAACAAGTACGAGACATTCAAACCAGAATCGCGTTCAGTCAGACTGCCATCTTGATGGGTGTGGACATTCCATTCTAAGCGCCGTCCATGGTCTTCTGTGGTAACAATGGGATAGATGACAGATAGCTTCCACTCAGGAATGAGGGAGAGCTTAACAGAAACGTCGATGTCGGAGGGCGAGTATAGATAAATGACTGGCTTTCTGATACGCGTGAAATCATTAACTCGAATATTGATGGAGTCGCCATCCTCGATGTTGTACGATCCGATAGTCCGGTTCGCATGCATCCTTACCCCACCGAAAATTGCATCGATAAGAGCGAGGTGACATCCCAATATCTCACTAGCATCAGCAACAAGCTTGTCCACCTGCATTTCCCTCGAGACTGTAATAGTCTTAATCTTGCCAGATTGAGAAACAAGTTTGACTGTGACTTGGTCGTCGGATTCTGATACCCGCTCTGACAGGATTGGGACGATATCCCAAACTTCGTCGTCGTTCCTGCTATGTGGTCTCAACTTCAGTACTGAAAACACTTGTAGAATATTTGGGGTGCGTACGAGCTGTCCTGGTCATCAACCTGACCTGGTGCCGATTGATTGTCGGGCAATGAAATGGCCCAATCATCAAGCGGCAGTGGGACGGGCAATGTCATTTTTACACGCTGAGTCACCTCAACGACGTGAAGCAAGTCGACGATATCGCTCCATACTTCAGCCGTGATTTCCACGTAGTGGCCATCGCAAACATCGAGTTGATTGGTCTGAAATGTGAGTATATCTCTCGAAATGCTTGGGAAAGTTTTGCAGGCGGAGTTAAACATGAGCTTGCAAGTTATGGTATCTGTGAGCCATTAGAGATCTTAATACTTGTTTCACTCACATTGTACGACTTTTGTCGTTTAACAAGGACCCGTTTTGGACCACATTTCAGAACAAGACATCGCAAAATCGATGTCTCTTTGGGCTGAGTAGAACCAGACATTCAGAGCCTAGAGGTACGAATAAGTTTGGAGGCTTTGACGTAGAGGGTGACCACTGACGACAATTATGGCATGATGGCACATTTGATCCCTTTTTAACAACAGGCGACTCGATGGTGGTGATGCATCGGGCCCAACTCGGAAAGCCTTGACGTGTTTGGAGAGGAAAAACAGTGGCTATTGCATGCACCACGTCATGCTATGTTGCTGCGCTGTTGGTCTTCTGTGGCGCCGATCTCTCTCTTTAGCAATGCACATACGTGTCTGAGTACTAGTGGAGATAAGCTGTGTTGCATTCCGTGCCGAAGGTCGCATTGGGGGTTGAGTCATCATCATTCATGAATGGAATTATTTTTAAGAATTTATTGATGTCTTGACTGTTGCTAAGTGCGAGTTTGATCGGTAGCATGTTATAGACCACAGTAAGATCCTACTGAGTTAACTGTTTTGTTGAGCCTAATCACGATCGTGATTGAGCACCGGGCTCGTCTCAAAGGTCCTTCTCGTGGGCAATACTCTAGGCTCTTTTTCAAGCTAAAGCTGACAACTTGCTTACTTACCAGCGACTTCGGATACCCACAAAGATCTCTTGCGCATTCTCGGATTTCGTAGCACCTACATACATTGTCCGTCTTGCGAGTAGGGATTAAATCCTGTAAGTAGACTGTCTCATGTGTAATGGCCTGTGTGCTTCTGATAAGGGTTAAAGTGAAAGAAGATGGGCCCCTGGACTCACCAACAAACTTTTACATTATCGGATAACCTCGTTTGATTCCAAGATCCTAGTAGACTTCTCTCGTATACATGATCTGCCGTAGTTAAACCTCCGAGCACGGACCATGTCTTCCTCCACCAATAAGACACCAGAGATAACGCCACGCCAGACGATGCGAGGTCATACCAGCTGGGTAAACGGCATTGTGCACTTGCCTGGCGGACAACACATCATGACATGTCCGTCGGATGGCTCATTCCAACTATGTGACCTAGCCTAAAAGGGCGTACAGATCATTGCAGGCAAGGACTGGTGGGATGAAGAAAATTATGCGGTGCGATCCATGGCATTGTCTCGAAACGGCAAGATTGTTCCAAGTAGAGGCAATGGCAAGAAAGCGAGGTTGTTGTATATTGAGATGAGGGTCATTGTCAGTTGGACAGGACATATGGAGCACAGATGGTAGGATCCTGGGGTGGGACAGCAAGGGTCTGGGATATCGACAGCGGCAAAACTGTTCTTACAATTGAAACAGGGAAAAGATGCGTGTATACGGTGATGTTCTCGCCTGACTCTTCAAAACTTGCGACGGGCGGAGACACTGGTGGTACGCAGCAGAAATTTGGGATGCGAAAACGGGAAAGCTTCTCGACACACTTGAGTCTTGAATACAGCTGGGTTTTTGGCTTAGCCTGGACTGGTCAAACGGGGAGAAGTGGACTCTACTGCCATCGTAATTTACTGCAGCAGTGTGTGTCTCAAATTTCCACTTCTTCGGTTCACTTCGCGGCAACACTAGAGCCTAGAGATCGGACTTCTAAATAAGTCGAATTAATAGAGTTTGGTAGTGTCCCTCAGGCTTACTAATCTCGCACTGAAAATACACACGGAACCCGCCACATGTTAACTTGAATGACCGACACATGTACATGTCCTGGCTCTCAGAATAGGGCACTGGTAACTAGTACACAGATATCTGTATAGTTTGAAAAGAAGAAACGATTGTGTATTTTAACTCGGGGATGCTGAAATCAATGGCTGTCACGTTTCGAGCTGCAAGTCATTTATGCCTCGTTAGCCTGATTGCATCTCAAAAAGAAGGCCACTGCGTTACTTAAAGAATCGTACGAACGGTTAGCAAGTCTTTGGAACATAAGAGGTCGAGTTCCCGGCTGATAATTCGTACTTCATAGACTCACGGAAGGGAGTGAACGTTTCCGAGTGCATAAGTTCACCTGCACATTTGTCGGATACAAAGCCAATCAAGACAAAACGCGATAACACCTACACAAATTAAGTACATAACCTGATAGAATATCAAATGAGAACCTCCATCCCGCCCCATTCCAACGCCCTGAACAAAGTCACATCACCAGCTCTTGCAGGATCAACTCCAACCACATCCACCCACCAAGCAACGTCTTTCTCTGCTTGAATTCGTGCATTGGTCCAATTTGTCAAGTCCTCCTTACGGATACCTTTGAACAGCATAAATACCCGAGTCACGACGTCGGGCTGCGGAGAAATGTGTAAAGAAGCGGCGCGTTCGAATGCTGCTTGAGGAATAAATCGGAGTGCAACGTATTCGTGCTTGAGGAAGGATGGTAGCCAGTAGCTAGTACCATGGCAGTTTCAGTGTTGTGTTTACAAATTGACAGCCTGAGGTAGCGCATATATACGCACGTTATGAATGATGTTCTAGCTTCGGTGTGAAGTCCCAAAACCTTGAGTGAGTTATCGAGGTAAACTGTTACTCTGTCCACTGGAGTGACAATTGAATCCGTATCATCGAGACTGTTGGATACTGGATTGAATGTATCCACTGGTTGCGGTTTGTATGCTGGTGTCCGGAGAAATTCTTGCGAATTTGTCCTGCGAAGAGCAAGACAAGTCAGGAGAGTGATTTCTGTATCATCAAGGGGACTTACTCCGCCTCCCAGAACAAGTACGAGACATTCAAACCAGAGTTGTGTTCAGTCAGACTGCCATCTTGATGGGTGCGGACATTCCATTCCAAACGCCGACCATGGTCTTCTGTGGTAACAATGGGATAGATGACAGAAAGTCTCCATTCAGGAATGAGGGCGAGCTTAACAGAAACATCGATGTCGGAGGGCGAGTATAGATAAATGATTGGCTTTCTAACACGCATACGATCAACTTGAATATCGATGGAGTCACCATCCTCGATGTCGTATGATCCGATAGTCCGGTTCACACACATCGTTACCCCACCAAAAATTGCCCTGGCAGGACCTGAAGTATCCAATATCTGACAAGCACGAGCAACAAGCTTGTCCACCTGCATTCCCCTCGATATTTTAGTAGTCCTAATCTTGCCAGATTGAGAAACAAGTTTGACTGTGACTTGGTCGTCGGATTCTGATACCCGCTCTGACAGGATTGGGACAATGTCCCAAATCTCGTCGTCGTTCCTGCTATGTGGTCTCAACTTCAGTACTGAAAACACTTGTAGAATATTTGGGGTGCGTACGAGCTGTCCTGGTAATAAACCTCACTTGGTGCTGATTGATTGTCAGGCAACTTTGAAATGGCCCGATAATAAAACGGCAGCGGGGCGGGCGATGCCATCTCCACACGCCGAGTCACCTCAACGACGTGAAGCAAGTCGATGATATCGGTCCATATTTCAGCCGTGATGTCCGCATAGTGACCATCGCAAACATTGGGTCGATTGGTCTGCAACATGACTACATCTCTCGGAATGCTCGGGAAATGTTTGCAGGCGGAGTCAAGCATGAGCTTAGAAGTTATGGTATCTGTGAGCCATTAGAGATCTTAATAGTTGTTCCACTCACATTGTACGACTTTTGTCGTTTAACAAGGACTCGTTTTGGACCATATTTCAGAACAAGACATTGCAAAGTTGATTGATCTTTGAACTGAGTAGAACCAAACATCATATTCAGAGCCTAGAGGTACGAATAAGTTTCGAGGCTTTGACGTAGAGGGTGACCACTGACGACAATTATGGCATGCTGGCAGTCGATCCCCTATTACATAACAACAGGTGACTCGGTGGTAGTGATGCTCGTCTGGTCTAACTTGGAAAGCCTTGGCGTGTTTGGAGGGGGTGGCTATTGCATCCACCACGTTGCGCTGTTGGTCTTCCGAGGAGTTTGTGGCGCCGATCTGTAATGCACACACGTGTCTGAGTACTAGTGGAGATAAGCTGGTTGCATTCTGCCGAATATTGCGGTTTGATGTTCAAATATTCATGCACATGCCCCAGTGAACTCGTTGTCCATCGCGTCATGCTGTATCGTTGTGTTTCTGTCTTCCTTGCTCACCACTATGGCGACTTCTCCTTCATTTCACGGTGTTGTTGGTCTTCAGAACGGAATCAGATACCAAATTGACAAAAAAAATTACAGGCATTACGAAAGTGGGATCGCTTTTGAACACCATTTCGTTCGTGATGTTGTGATTTCCACGCTGAGCGTCTGTCAGCCCATGTATGCCCACAAGGAAAATCATGCACACACCTTAATCGACGATTCTATCATGGCAGTATCGATCTACCCGTGATTAATCAGCGATGGACGCGTGCATGGCATAGATCATCACCCGCACCTTGTTTCCTTGGGTATCGTAAATTTCTGGTTGATCTGTGGTGTTGCAGACCTTCTGGAGGATGGTCGTTTTGCCTGCGTTCGCTCTCCCCATGATCAGAACTCGAAAGCGCCCGATTCTTTCTCTGAGGTCCTGGGCTTCGATGGTTGCCATTGGGAGACCTCGATATGCGTTCTGAAGTAGAGGTGATTTGGTTTATCGTGAAAGTCGTACTGCGGTACAGAACAAGGTCGTGGCGAGATGTGGCAGCGAACGAACACGAAGCAAGAGTTCTTATCGCTTGTGGCAATACATGGCGTCTATGTCTTATCTATCTCCCTGCCAATCAGGCAACTGATTATACCTTCGCACAGATACGAACTTGCAACTGTTCAATCGTTCGTACGATAAAGCACAAGGATTATACAACGAATTATGCCGAATAATGAGAACGTCGATAAAGATATGAACTATAATGAATGATCAGAATACGACGGAAATGACAGGATTTCGCTCTTCCCTACCCGTCTAGCTGAAAAGCAGTGATATGGGAAATCTCTGTAAATGGAGGGAAGCTCGATCTTCCAAGGTCTTCCAGACGATTTATCCTTGAAAAGTTTGAGAGAAAACAAGAGCATGTCAGAATGTGAGACACTCTCTAGAATGGGTGACATCCCGTAATGCTCGACAATGTCTGCACATTTGGAGTTTGACCCGGAAGATGTTGGCCTGAGCATGAAATAAGGGACGGCGGAGCAGTAGATGCCGTGCGTGTTGGCTGAACTCGAACGTCGACCACGCTCGTTGGAAAGGCCGATGTAGCGGGTCGCAGGAGCTTGTGTATTCATAGATAGCTCGGAGCAGGTTGGTACACGTCCGCGGACGAGTCCGACTGTCCATCATACTTATAAATTGGCACATATATTGTCAAGCATCAGAGAAGACGTACCGGTCAATATACGCATAGATTCTCGGGGTTGGCGGGTGTCTCACTGGATTATGACAGAATGCCTCCTAGAAACCCTTGAATATTCACAATGGACAAACTTCTTGCAGCCTCAAGAATCGCAATGTGCACCACCTCACATTGAGATCATACAGCGTCAACCGTCGTGATGAAGTACATGTCCCTGCGCCTAGAACGTACAAAATTACATGCCTTGGCAAGGATACGATCAGTACAAGAACTCACAGTATGAACCAAGACTCACTACTTTGAACGATATGCATGATTGTATAACCTCCTTCCGGTTTCATGGTGATACTAGATAGGATATATAGCATTCGACGATTATAAAGAAAAACGCAGTTGCTCCTGCGTCTTCGCTCTACGTCGATGACAAACTTGGTAATTACTCCTCATCGAAGGTGCTAGCCTAAACATGCTTGATAGAATTCAAATGGTAAAGGTGCATCTCAGCCCGCAATGGTCACTCCAAGGAATCTCGACAAGTTTCTCGCCCGGCCTGGGCACCTCAATAGTACCAGGGCGGAGGACTTCCATTTCCTTAGCCTTTAAGCCCATCATTGCAACCTTGTCCAACCTGCCCGGCCCCATTCCGTCCCGCCGTTCCACGCCGACACCCCACGTAGCTCCATCATGGTTTGCTTTCCCGTGCAATGCGACCCACGCATCTACCAGTTCGTTCTTGTCGACGAGCCCATCATCCTCGGGGCTGATGGCGTTGAAGTCGCCCGCAATGATCCCGCCACTGCATCCGGGTTCGCGTAGGACGTTGGCCAGTATCTCCATCTGCTGGGCGCGGTAGTGTAGCGTATCCTGGAGCGAGTCGAGGTGCACGCTGATGAGACGGAATACTGTACCCGGCGATATTGGGGGGATGATGTCTACATAGAGCGCATCCCTCCTGTACTTGCTCGGGAGTATCACGCGGGAGACACGCCCGAGCATGAAATTTTCCCCTCCCTCGATCCCATCGCCTTCCTTCTGCGAATCCAGCCCGGAGATAAAGCGCGTGCTGGAAAGCAACATCATGGTCGCAAAGGGCACGTCCTCAAACGACGTTTGATCCTCGGCGTCAGTCACCAGGAAGGCAGCGCGCACTCTCGCATCATCTAGGAGAGAGGTCCGGACCTCAGGCGTAACTTCTTGGAGAAAGAGGATGTCAGGAGATTCCTCGAGGACATGGCTGAGGATGAGTTTTGCGCGTGAGACGGGCCGCGGGGAAAAGGCATCGATGTTCCATGATATGAGAGAAAGCCCCTGCGTCGAGAAGGTGTCGATGCTCCGTGATGTGAGAGAAAACCTCTGCGTCACTTGGCTCTGTACGTTTCGCAAAGGTATGGGTTCCCAGCTTCGGGTGGATCGGTTGAAAGCAGAAAGAGTACGCCAGAGTCTGTTGGTGACCATGGGCGGTGTGTTGGAAAGAGGGAAGTTTCTGGCAGGGGTTTAAGTGCCGCGGAGGTTTAAATAGATGGCTGTGCCTGTACAAATAGTCAAGCGGACTGCTTGCATAAGAGTAAAGTCGAAAGTACCAAGTCGTACGAGACTTGAGTACTACACAGCATTAGAGCACTAAGTGCCCAACTCAAACGTTACCTAGGTATCGAACTTCAGCTCATCACGTGTAGTTAAAACAACGTTAACAATGTCCATTCAACATATAAAGGTAGTAACAAGTGAGTAGGGATGGATAAGTAGGGACAGACGATATACGAGGGGGATAGACGAGCAAGTAGGGATAGACGAACGATGGGGAAAGACGAGGGAAATAAATAATACACGGGGAGGTTGCGAGTGTCCGATAACGAGAAGCTATAGTAACAAAGAGAGAGATAAATGAGACGAGACGAACCGAACCGACGAGTCTAGGGCCTAGACATTAAAGCCGTTAGTTATAAGTATGAGAAGATAAGATGGAAGAGAGAGACAAACCCGAAGTAGCGATGGTTAAAGCACTCGTACCAATAACCTAAATGAGACCAAGCTTTTTCTTCCAAACCTCCTTAGACCACGCGGTCTCCTTCTCGAGATAAATGGCAAGAAACTTTTCAAAGGCAGCCTCGATTGTAGCCTTCTCGGTATCGTCCTTGTACGTCATGGACACATTGGCACCCTCCGAGAGAAGAGCCTTAACATCGTCAAGATCGCGCATTCCCTTGTTGAGGTCCTCGCGGTCCGGAGCCGCCAAAATCTTCATCTTGATAACCTCATCGGCTTCGGGCCACGGGACGTCGGTATCATTGAGCTCTCCAAGAAGAACTCCAAGGGGCATAAACCCGGTCTACGTATCAAACGGATTAGTACGAGCCATGATGAGCAATATAAAGCATGCACTCACCACTCCCTCGTCGATAATGTCGATGGGGATGATGATTTTCGTATCGGGATCACGGTAGGTCACTCCACAGACCTTCTCGAGGTTGATGGTAAAGGAATTGTCCGCGGCGATGATACTGTCACGGAGTTTTATACGGTCGATGGTAGTCACTCCCTTGAGGATGACATCGATATCCTAATGCCTAGCTGTTAGTAATGGGACTCTGTACTGTAATAGATGTATGGTACTAACATTGGTGTTGCGAAGCCCCAGATTTTGCATAAACAAGCCTCCGGGCACGGAGACCCTGGTTGTAGCGGCCTGAGCACCAAGTGCCTTTCTCATAGCCTTGAAGAAGGGCACAAGAGCAGACTGAGGAATAGCCATTGTTGTTTAGTTAGAGGTGATAATGGTATTAGACAACGAAACTAGAAGATTACACCACCGGTTTTTATCCATGAGCAATCTTGTGAGAAAACTTAGAGGACTTGGCTTGTTCCTAGAATCATGGCCGTAATGACACTTTTGGGCAGGGACAGGGCAAATCCATCAAGGAGATGACCTGTGGCCAGGTGCATGCCGGAGGGAGGAAGACTCTAACCCCGAGCCAGAGGCCAGGTGGAGCCGCTAGGATGAGGAACGAGGAACGAGGCACGCTGCCCTATTCCTCGCACACTTCCTACACCGCCAATTAACATACTAGCCACCCTTCTTTCGACCTCGGTCAAAGGTAACCTCAACTTCCAGGAAACACAAAAGTATTCCTGACCTTGCGCTGTTCACGGCATCAATGAACCTCTGAACAGATCTAATGTTGGTATCTCAAGCAATGTATCGTCGAGCATCGGAATAATCAACATACCGCTGATGGGAATGTCTTTGCATTGTCGAGGAAATACTGATCTGTGGCAAGCACGCGGGCGTGGTAGCCAAATTAGCTCCGTGACTTGAATAAATCTGGGAAAAAACGCACAAGCACAAGTGCATGAAGCTAAATATGGACCCAGCCTGAGACGGACGATCAAAGAGGTTGCAATTGTACGGAAGCGAAAGGCAATTTGGTGATTAGTACTGTCGAGACTGCCGCAAATGTTTATGCATTAAGTTACGACTTGGATATGCATGTCAGCTGTACTTGCAACTTACATGCCAGGATCATCAAGAAGGGCCACAGTCTTCGAGAAGTTGCCTCAGTTTTGTCTGATCCGAACATTCAGTACCTGGTACTTGCCTGGTACCTGTACTAGTATGTTGAATAACGAACCGGAACATTATTTCCTCCGACTTCAAGTGCACAGCTTTCTACAAGTTTCTATGTAGATCGTTCCATTGCCACCTGTATGCCGCACTTCTAGCTAACCGAAGCGAAATGACTTGGAGGTAACTGTGAAATTTGAAAATGCAGGTGGGGGGGCCCTTGACTCTGTACCACCACCATGGTCAGAACTCCCACGCTGAAAAACGCGGGCAAGGACGAGCCGTCGCAGCTCACAGAAAAAACTGGCCTTTTAAAAAACCCATAACATCAACAAAATAATATGTATATGTACGAACACCCTCCTCCTCATCACCCAAATAAAACAACCCAACAACAACAAAACAACTGACACACCCGAAACACACCCCACACGCAACACCTATCGACGAACTTTCAACCGAATCATCTTAGGATAACTGACTACCAACACCCGCCAAGAATACAAAGATAACGCCAACCACAACCAGACGTAAAGATACACCCCCGCACCATGCCCAGTGCTAACACACAACACCGCCTAAATTGCCCCCCTTGAGAAATCACAGCGACAATAAGTCTTATTAGACCACTGCCTCAATTGAAATTGAACTCATCCCGGCCACGATGCCCTCGCCGAACTAGTCAACCTCCTCAATCTCAGCCAGCTGCGCTAGAAACAGAAGTATAAAAACCTGCAGACCCCACTCACAATCCTCGTCCCAGCAGACATGAAAGACAAGGAACCCTCTTCTATTAAGGCAGTATCTCAAGCCTCCCGCCCCTACCCCACCACTCCTCGTCCTAATCCACAACCCCCTCGCTCGGGACCAAAATACTTTCCTCCTGAAGCTCTACAGGAAGACGTCGACTTAGAACAAGCTATGGACATGATACCGTATAAACCTGACCCACCCTCACCACCCTCCCCCCCAAGCCCACACTCCCCCCCTGACACACCCACCCCCACACCTCAGGGGAACCATGTGCACCCACTCCAACCCGACCTCCTCGTATACCAGGATTTTAAAGTAACAACGTCCCATGTCGACGATGACAAACCGCCGAGCAGTGACCTCGCTAACTCAATTCATGCGCCGAACAACTCCAAAGGTGATCACCAAATGAGCGCCCCGCCAAGCCCCAAAGCCAGACATGAACCCACCGCTGAGGAACAAGCCATCCTAGATCATCTAGCTCTGGCTGACGCGAACAGGTCTGTTCTCAGCCAGAACGGCCTGAATACTCGCACTACCCTACCCCAATTCACGCCGACTCCAAATGGGGGATTCCCAGTAGTACATATGTCCCACTCAGCTCAGATATTTGACCACCTCGATAACAGAGTCCTCCTCGCCTGGTTCCAAGTTGAACACCCGAAATTCCTAGTAAGGGTGTTCGACCACACAGGAAAAGACGTCGCAGAACGCGCTGCCATCCTCGCAGAGCGCATCCGCGCTAGCATTGCCACCATCGCAGAGTTCGTCCAACAAGACCCCCCGCAGGTACGCGTCTCCCCCCCACAACCCCAGGGCGGTAGAGAAGTGAAACTCCTCCCAACGGGCTTCCTGGTCCACAAAGTAACAGAAGAGACCAAAAACCTGATCCTAAGCCAACGCATCTGGTCCAACACGGACCTCACGTTCGAAGCTCTCCCATTCAACTGCAACCACCCCCCAGAACTCTTGTTCTGTCTATCCGGCTACACGACCTTAGACACCCAGACCATCCTTCAGACCGTCCGCGACACTTGGTCTTGTGAAGAAAACCACACCCGCATCGAAGGGTTCTTCTCCCATTGCGGCCTCCCAGCGGGAGTGCCCACCTACATGGTTACTCACGACTTCATCGAGTCCGCTCGTGTCGAACTCCTCGACTTCAAGATAACGGGGGGACTGTCCGTACCGCGCTTTAACGTCCTCGCCACCAGTCCAACAAATGACGCCAAGACCTGGACTAACCTGCGCAGCTTCCTAAGCGCCCTTAACTACCCAACCAGCCTCGATGGCTGTGGGACATCGACAGCCCTCTCCGCATGCCAAATATGCCACTCGCTAGCCCATCCAAGAGGATTATGTCCATTCCCACTCGTCACACTCTGGAACGGCCCCCGAGTGGGCAATAGGAACACGGGGAACGGACAACGTCAACCTGGGAAAACCAGAGGCGGAAATGGGAGATTCAATCGCACTGTCTGATACCTCGTACAATCACACTCTATGCCGAATTCCATTCCTTCCTACCTACAGCTAGATGTACTAAAACCTAACCCCCTCTCAGCCCATACGTGTCCCCATCTCACATACATAGCCTAGAAACACACCTCACCCTACGTACATCAATTTCAGTCCTTTCTAAACCGTACAAACCCCCCCCCCCCCCCCATCATATAATAAGCGCCACAACGGTTCTGTCTTAGGCCCGGCTCCGAAAGATCAAAAGAACCGCTGCGAACGTAAGACAGGTTTGAATGAGACACAAACCATCGAATTAAAGACACCTTGCCCAAATATACTGGTCGCGGAAGCGGGACAGGAAAGCAGGAGTCGTCTCAAAACAGCATGGTGCACACCAGACCACGGAAACCTATTTAGGTTCGGACAAGCCGTGCCGAGAGGCTTAAGTTTTCACTAGTAGATGATTCCAATGTCCTGGGCACTGATAATCATTGAAAACGCTAACATAGTCCACTGCTAATGGGCCAGACATGTCGATTCTAAGGCTACATAATGATCGTAACGTAGTCTTAGTAGTACGATCACCCCAAACACTCACATAAACTCCCCAAATCACGGTCGTTTTGTCGGTAACGGTGCAGGCATCCCAAGTAGCGGAGGAGGACCTCCTCGAACCACTGGGAGACCCTCCGATGACCGCTCTCGGGATTTCGGAAGTGGACATGCCAATCAAAGGCACACCCAACCCCAACATCAACCCCAGCCTCAAATGAGGGACCCACCAACACAAAGTATGGCCACACACGCCCTCCGAAACCAGACACAGGAACCTATCAGACACCCCAACCAACACCAACCAACGCGCCAAGTCATCACAACCTCCAACGAACACAAAAAAACCAGAGCGAACATCAAAATAGCCACTCTCAATATGAAAGGACGGACCTCGACAAATCTCGCGCAAAACCAAACATCTAAATGGACAAATGTAAATCAAACTGTGAGAGACGAAAAGATTGGCATATTGTGCCTTCAAGAGACGCACTTGACTACAGACCACAAAAATCAAATTGACAATCTATTCTCCCGGCGCCTGCGAGTCCTAAGCACGAGCGACCCAACCAGACCAGGAAACTCTGCAGGAATTGCATTCGTTCTAAATAAAGAAATATTAAATACCGCAGACGCCAAAATGAAAATCCTGGTACCAGGACGAGCAGCAGTCTTATCTGTGAAATGGCACAAAAATGAGACAATCAACATTCTAAACATATACGCACCGAATAACATGAACGAACACCGAAGCTTCTGGGAGAAAATAAGTTCAGAATGGACAGCGGCACACGCGGGCGACATTGACTTCATGATGGGTGATTTTAATATCACCGAAGAACCGATTGACCGCGCCCCCGCAAGGCACGATCACGAATCAGCCACCGAAGCTCTAAGAGACCTAAGATCAACGCTCAACCTACAAGACACCTGGCGCCTCGAAAACCCAAACACACGCACCTTCACATTCAGTAGTAACCGCAATACATTATCGCGCCTAGACAGAATCTACACCTCAACACGCCACTTAAACAGCATGACAGATTGGAACTCACAAATCAGCCACATCCCGACGGATCACCACATGGTGTTGACAAGGTTCGCACCACCCGGACTACCACACATAGGGAGAGGAAGATGGTCATGGCCAATAGGAATAATGAAAGATGAAAGCCTAATTAAACAAATTATAAAACTAGGGATTAATAAGCAACAACAAATGGAAGAGATAAACGTACGAGACGGCACCACCAACCCGCAAAAGTTATGGATTACTTTTAAAAAAGAAATAACCGACTTAGCAAAAGAAATGTTGAAAATACACCTAGGAAGAGTCAACCAACGAATACGAGCATTAACGAAAGACCTACGCAAGACAACGAACCTAAAAGACATAGACTTCTCTGAAAACACTAGAATAAATC